GAAGTATATATATATATATATATATATATATATATATATCTCGCAAGTAGCTGAATTTAGCCCACTTACTGATAGCTACATTAAATGCCCCACAGGCAATCTAATGGCCATGAATGTATTTTGCATTTGAATCCTAATTTTTTCTAAAATTCAAATCATTTAAAATATACAACGTCAACTATTGAAAAATGGACAAATATAATAAACATATTAAAAAATAATTCACAAAAAATAACTTGACCAAAATACCTCTAAAATTTTTTAGATGTATTTTGGTTAATTTATTTTTTATAAATTATTTTTAAAATATTTTTATTAAGTGCGTCTCAATGAGAATAGTGAAAACTCCAAATTTCATGTGATTTAGATTTATAGAAAAAGGCTTTAAATTTAAAAATGAATTGCAGTCGTGAATGTCAATTTATTTTTTATAAATTATTTTTTAAATATTTTTATTAGGTATATCTTAATGAGAATAGTAGAAACTCCAAATTTCATGTAATTTGGATTTGTAGTAAAAATATTTAAATTTAAAAATGAAATACATATGTGAATGTCAAATCGGCCCAAATTCATTTTGGGTTGTTAGGCTTACAAAATTCCATCATATATATATATAGTGTAAGCCCAACGACAAGATTGAATTTGGGCCGATCTGATGGTTACGATTTTATTTCGTATTTGAATTTTAATCTTTTTTATATAAATCTAAATCACTTAAAATTCAGAGCGTCAACTCTTCTCATCAAGGCCTACCTAATAATAATATTAAAAAATTATTTATAAGACATAAATTAACCAAAATACCTCTATATAACTTTTAGGGATATTTTGATTAATTTATTTTTTATAAATTATTTTTTAATATTTTATCAGGTTAACCTATTTTTCAAAAGTGGACACTCAAATTTCAAGCAAAAGTCAATAATGACTATTTGATTCGCCTAGATTCAATATGAGCAGTTGGGCATTTACTGTAGCTGTCAGCTAGTTGATGATCTCATACAAATATATATAAAGTGTGTTTTGTATAAGGTTGCAACTTTAAACGAATCAAATTAAGGTGCGCCTTCAATGTTTGTTATGAGATGCAATTTTATTATCGAAAATTCTTAGAATAGTGTTAAAATCGATTTTACCTCTAATTATAAAATTTTAAAATCCAAACAAAAATTGTTTAAAATCAAGCAGATCTATAAACTCATTAAAATGTTGAAAATGGATAGTCCAGATAATATGTTGCAAGATATACTATTTTTGGGACTTGAAATCTCTTTTTTTCTCCATATCTATATATCTTGATATCAAGATGAATAATTAAATGTTTTTCCAACATCAAAACAATCTTTTCCGAAGAATTTTAGAGGTGCACCTCAATTAATTTTGAGGTGTCAACCTTATATAAACTTTTCCACATATATATAATTGCATTTTAGAGTTTCTGGATACGAGTTAATAAATCTTGTAGTGATGTCCTAAGTTGGTAATTGCATTTGGAGTTATTGCAGACAAATTAAGGAATCTTGTTGGACAAATTACTGAACAGTTGGTAATTGTATTTGGAGTTAGTTTGGGAGACATGTTGGGAATCGTATTGGACAAAATAATGAAAGGTAAGATTGATTACTACAAAGGTCAGACAAATTGATTACTACCCTCTTCATTGCAGAGAGAGATACAAAGGTCAGACAAGTTGATTACTACACTCTTGATTGCACAGAAAAAGAGTGTGTGTGTTTCAGCGAAAGATAGAGAGAGTGTGTGTGTTTCAGCGAAAGATAAAGAGAGAAAAAGAATACATTTTTTTTAAACAAGGTTCAAAAAGAAGGCTCAGACCAAGAACTCGGTTGGGTCCTGAGTCCGAGTCGACCCTACAGGCTCTGCCTACTCTGTTAGAGACTCAGCCGAGTTTTTCAAAGTTCTAGTACTAGAACATAGAAATCAGCCGAGTTTGGCCTTTTCCTGCTTGGATTCAGCACCTTGCCAAGTCTGAGTGGAATCACCTATGTTTTGGGACACTCTTAAGGTACATAGATTTGCAACCAGCTCCAATACCTATCGTAATTGTTCAAGTTACCCAATGCTCACTATGTGGTTGATTACCATAATTACTTCACCCTACATTACAAAAGATTGTGGTCCGGTATATTTTGAAGAGGTGATGGATGAAGTTTTCAAAACTATTGCAAGAAATAGAACAATACCAAGATTAATGGCAAAAGGATATAAGCCACAGCTTGGTTTGTGTTTCTCCCATTGCTCTGATACAAAATGCTTGAGTGGTTATTGTTGTAGTTGCTCAAACAGATGAATACTTTACCAATGGATGTGAAATTGGTGTTCCTTGCATCTTAATGGTTCTACTGTAAAGGTAATTTGCATGGAGCAATTTACATCTAGATGAACCATGTATTTATGAGCAAGCCTTGAATGGATTGAAACCGGTAAGAGCATAGAATTTGTTCTAGTCCCTACTCACGATGAGCATGTTGGATGTCTAGTTTAGCATGCCCCTTATTCAAAATCTAATGCGCAGGGTGATTTTTTAATAGTTAACATGTAGAAAATATAATATTTACAAGGGAATTCCTTGATACATTTGATGAATCTGAGAAAACAGTAATCCATCATTTCAACCAGTTTAATGTTTTATTTTCTTGTTCAATGATGTGGGACAAAGCCAAAGAGGGAAAATATATCATTGTAAGAGAATTTATCCTCGAAATCTAATACAAATTTTTAAATTTGACAGTAGAGATTCATAAGCATGTGCTCCTATAAAGAATGCTGGCAGTGAATAGGCCTAACTATTTGAGATTGAAGAATGGGGAAGGTGGTAGTACAGATTTGTTTCAGGATTCCATTTAGATTAATAGAACTGCAATAGAAGTAATCAAGAAGAGCTCACAGTTAAAAGAATTAACCTTTTTAAAGTTTTCTCAAGATTTGGCCATTTCTATTGAAAACCAGGCCATGAGGTTGCGTTCATTACCCTTATTTGAGGTCATGAGATTGGATCATCCAAATCTAGGATATGCAATATTGGCATCATTATAAGCCTTGGAGATGCTCGAGATAGTATGATTTGTTAACTGTAAGTTGGATTTGTCGGTTATCTGAACATGGTTGTTGCATCGAGGGTAACTAGGAGAGGGCAAACTTTGAGAACTCCAGTATTTCTGACAAAATTGAAAAGATGTTGAGTGGACTGGGGGTTTCTGCTATCTGAGATGACTTTTTTTTAATGAAAGAGCAATAAATAGAGTTGCTTTTGTATGGATTCCACCAAGATGATGGATCAACCCATTTGCGAAATTACTCTGTATTTGCATGTATAAGAATGGTTATAGGTCACAATTGTGTGATATTTGCAAATCCTATCTGACCCCTGCATGACCTATCCAACCCCTATGCAACAGTCAACAAAGCGTCCAAAGGTAACAGGTAGACAGGAATAAAAAAACGAGAAGACATGCATAAAAGAATTTTCATTGAAGGCTCAAGTATTGGGATACGATTGTGGTGTTATTTTCTTGAGACTGATGAAACCCTTCACTCTATTATCCAATGAACAGCAAGATCATCTTATGCTTAACATTTTCCAATGAACAGCAAGACCATCTTATGTTAACAATGTTAAGCAGAACCTTCTGAAGATTATTTGGGGCCAATCCAACTTGAGTTCAGTAATGAAAGGTCACTTCAAATGCTACATATCCTGTTACATTTTCCCCCAAGCTTCTAGAAGATTCTATATCTGCTCAAGGGAATGCACAATGGAACTAATAAACCTTTATGCAATCCAATGTCACAATTCATGTCTGATCATATTAATTCCTTTTATTTTTATTTTTATTTTTTATTTTTGTCATTCATGAGGTAAGTTCTTAAAGTAGTCTGATTATCTTACCAACAGATCCAAAAAAACATTCTTTTGTAAGCAACACTTGAGCATTTCATTGCACTATCCATTTTTGTTCCCTAATTACTTATGGAACGTTTGTATTTCCAGTAAAGCATATGGATATTTTACCATTTGAAAATGGTTTACATTAGCATTCGTATAAATCAAGTCTTCATGCATTTTAAAGTTTCGATATTTGCAGTTTGCACATTGTCCGATGCTGTGACACATCAATCCATGATATATCGATACATGGGGACTTTAACATCCCAAATAATGATGGCATAGATATTGAGGATTCCAATAATACCTTGATCACAAGATGCCATATTGATACAGGTGATGATGCAATCTGTCCAAAGACATATTATGGTCCTCTATATAATCTGACAGCCTCAGATTGTTGGATACGAACAAAATCTTCAGCAGTGAAGTTAGGGAGTGCTAGTTGGTTAGAGTTTAGGAATCTTACATTTGACAATTTAACCATCGTTGACTCGCACAGAGGACTTGGACTACAAATCCGTGATGGTGGTACGTACATCTTTCTTTCTTTAATGGTAACTGAACTTTCCTGCCTTTCTCAAATCTAAGTGCCTCTGTATTTATTTGGTTAGGTCTCTCCTTGCTGCTTGCTATAACTAGTCCATGATGCAAACATAATAGACTGACTTTTGAAGTCTCCTGATTAATGTCAATTTGTAAATTCAAAGCTGGTATGACAGTATGATTAAAAGTTTAAAACACAAAAACAGTATTAGAGGACAATTAGACCTTGAGTAGCTCACTTCCTACAATTGCCCCTGCAGTTTTATTGTTCATGTTGCTTTTACTGAAATAATAGGAATTTTTTAACAGGAAAGGTGAGTGATGTTACCTTCTCTAACATCAAGATAAGCACTCGGTATTACGACCCCTCATGGTGGGGGAGAGCAGAACCAATTTATGTGACCACCTGCCCTAGAGACTCAAAATCAAAGGCTGGACTTATATCAAATTTGCAATTCATTAATATCACAGCAATCTCAGAGAATGGGATCTTCTTATCAGGCTCAACTGATAGCTTATTAAGTAACATTCGATTCACAAATGTGAACTTAACTTACCGAAGATGGACCAAGTACAGAGATGGGTTAGTTGATTATAGGCCAGGGTGCAGAGGACTTGTCAATAGATCAATGGCAGGCATTATTATGGAGCACATCTCTGACCTGGACATGGTTAATATAAATATGAGATGGCATGGGAATGGCTTAAAAGGGTGGGATAAGCCCATGGATTTTACACCTTCAACCATAAATAGCATACACTTTGCTGGTTTTCAGTCCGAAATGTGTCATTAGAGTGAAGAATCAGTTATGGAGACTGTTGGTTTCTCCTTTTTTGGTGATTCTTTGTGGATTGGGAAGCTTGAAGAATGCGATCGGTTTCTCGAGGACCGACTGGTTTCAAGAATTTGAATAACTAGCAATCCATTTGGAACAATCATTATTTCAGTGGACTTCCATTGCTCTTGCATGGCTGGCAACTCTCTCTCTCTCTCTCTCTCTCTCTCTCTCTCTCTCATGCATGTGCGTATATGCAGCAGCGATGAGAGGAAGGAGTAACTTATTTTTTGTTTCAAAAGGCTGGTAATTGTGTTTGATCATCAGCAGTTTCCTTGTTTTTTTTTTTTTTAGTCCAGTTAATTATTGTATAGCTTGCTTGGAAATTGGTGGCATTTCGTCTGTCTTCCGTGCTGATTTTTTTACTCTGTGAATGGGGGATTTGCCACTTTTTCTGTCAATTATGTCTGGACCTGTTTTGTTTCTCATTGTTACATGGGAGAAAAAAGAACTATTTTGCATTTTATAGAGGCTCATTAGTGCCTTCATCATCTTTTTTCTCTTAGCCACCAAGTTGTTGCCTCCATTTGAATGGCGCTTTTTCAGTTATAAGATCACAAGCTTTCAGATTACCAGGATCAATTATTCTAATACCATAAAGCCTCTCTCAATCACACCTTGTTTTCACCCTGTGTGTGAATGAGAGAGAGAATCCTAAAAGTATTATCCCATGAAAATAGAGATGCAGGGACCTTGAAATCCCCATCTGCTGTCACATTTAACACTCAGGAAACAAGATTTAAGGAGAGAAAAAGAGGGCAAAAAGTTTTATGAATAGGCGGGTATTTTGAGCCGATTGCCAGGGGTCCAACGCTAGATGCCGGGTCTCCTATCCAACTTGGGTGATTCCTAAAGTAGGTCATATCAATATATCTCCTATCCCCTATCCGAATTGGGTGATTCTTAAATCCCCTATCCGAATTGGGTGATTCCTAAAAAGTAGGTCATATCAATATACATGTACAAAAGAAAACCTAAATCACCTACCTACGGTCCTGACCTGATTCCACTTTCAACAATTTTTAATGTAATACGCATAAACAAGTATGCAAATGAAACATACATGCAACATTTCCCTTCTTAAGAGATGTTGTTTATATAAGGTGACAACTTAAGAGATGCGGTTTATATTAGGTAAGAGATGTTGTTTATATAAGGTGACAACTTAAGAGATGCGGTTTATATTAGGTTACAACTTTATTAGTACAAGGTAGTCTGATGTATGCTAGAATGTTGGGCGGTCAATATATCAATAGGAAGAGTGTAGCTAAGATGAAGATGATAAGATGGGTGAGTGGCAAAATAAGAAAAGGATAGAATTAAAAATGAATAACTTGAACATTGTTCGCAAAATCGCCTGATCTAACCGTTAATCGCCTGGTTAGATCGAAACCGATCACTGGCTGGTTCCGGTTTTGGGCGGTTAGGGTGATCAACCTGTATTTAAAAAAAATTTCAAAAATATATATATAAATTCTTAAAAATAAGGAATTTGATTTGTAGTACATTTTTAAATATTCATTATATTATGGTAAAGATTAAAAATTGTTTTGGTCATTAATACTCACTCTTATATTTTCCCATCTTTTTTAAAAAAAATTAAAAATAGCCTTTGAAAAATATAAAATGGTTTAAAATTTATTTTTTTCATTAATTTTCAATTTCATTTGAATGTGTTTTGTTTTAATCATTTTTTATATGTTTTTCATATTTTAGTAGATTTTTTTTGTATTTTTTTCAATACTTTTTTTTACTGCCCGGAACTTGTCTGGTTAAAGCGGTTGAATCGGCCAATTTACCGATTAGGCCGGTTAAACCGCTTTCAAGTCTATGTCCAGTTAACCGTTCCTGTTTGATTTTGCTAACACTGAACTTGAGATAACTTAGATATGGCCTCAATAGACAATAAGATAAGAGAAAACAAACGTAAGTGGGTTGGGGATATACAACACGGACCCAATATAACACCTATAAGGAGACGTGAGTTGGTTCAAATAGAAGGCTAAAAAAAAGCACGAGTAGACCCTAAAAACATGGTTGAAAATAATGAAAAAAAAAAAACTACAAAGATTTATAGATTCACTAAAGGTATCACCTCCCTTGATAGAGCATAAAGATATATCAATATTCTTGTAGTCAGCCCCAAATAAATGAAAAAAAACTGTTATGTTGATGATAATCATTATGATAACGAAGACATTGATGTTTTACACTGGGGATTTTAATTTGAGGCTATAAACATCTATTAAAATAGTATTAAAAAAGTAGCATGTATTTTGAAATGATATCAAATCTCAAAGTAAGGTTCTTTACAGGGAGAGGGTTTTGAAATGATATCAAATCTCAAAGTAAGGTTCTTTATAGCGAGAGGGGCGCATTCAACCCTGATTTTCACAGGAGAGGTACAGGCCAGTTTTCCGATAATATATAAAGGGATATTATTTTCTTGAATGGGGAAACTGTAAAAACCATTCAATTTATTACTCCATACACTCAACCAGAAAACCTCTTGATCCACAGAGAGAGATGTTTGATTAAGAGAGCAACCTTCAATAATCCGAGAGGTAGAAGGGGGCTTACATTCACAGAGAGAGAGAGAGAGACAGAAATCCTGAAAACCTCAAAAGCCCACCCTTTACCCATAGCCAGTCTTCATGAGATCCCTACCCATTTTTCTTTTTAAACGCAACCAAGCCATTGAAAAAAGCCCATCTTTTCTCTCTCTAGGCCGCGAAAGAACCCACCATCTCCTCCAAGTCAAGCTGCCCTGCTATCTCCTGCAACTGCTTCTTCACACTCATATCAATCAACTTTGAACCAGAGCTCCCATACCTAATGGTGAACCCAGCCAAAAGCTCAGGCTCTATCACCGTCTTTATCCTGACATTCTTTGCGCCAGTGAGCCTCTGGACCTGGCTCGCTATCTGAGCAAGCTGTTGGCCTTCGAGCTTCACGACCGATCCAACAATGGCCAGCTCTGTATCAGTAAGCTTGTTATACACCACTTCAAACTCCTTCACTATGTCTCTGATGAGCTCTGATCTCTTTGCATCGACAAGAATGTTGAGAAGATTTGCTGTTGACCTCTGCAACTTCGCCGATTCAGTGATCTGGTCGAGAACCTCTCGTTTGTTTTCAATGGAGACGACAGGGTTCGTGAAAAATTCAAAGATTTGATCGTCCTTGAAGATGGATTCGATCTTCTCCAAGTCTGAGCTCGTCGTTTCTAGGGTTCCACTGTGTTTCGCGACGTCTGCTAAAGCAGTGGCATAGCTTGCGGCCGCACTATCCATCATCACAGCGCCAGAAACCCTGCGATTTCTGGCAACTTTTCCGGCAAGTTTTGGTCGTAATTTTATTGAAACTCCGGTGAAAGACGAGCGGAGGTTCTGAATTAAGTTTGGCTTTGGAGACTGAGACAGAGGAGAAGATATGATCTGAAGGCGAAGAGCCATGGGAGATCGGTTAAGAGCTTGCATTTTGAAATGGATATGGAAATTAAGCTATTTTTCCTTTTTCTTTATTTTTCTGGGATGGGTTTTTGGGGTTTGGACAGAGGGAAACTTGCAGAGAAAAGAGTACAGAGTTTGTGCCCGTTTTGTACGTATTGGACGGCGGGATGTGGCGAGGAGTAAGGATCGGACGGTGGTGGATTCGCACTTTATCTTAATGCACTCCTCGACCTAGAGAAAGGGGCCTTTGATGTGTTGGCCAACCATACGAATACACGTGTCTTTTAAAGTGATAGGCTTCTTTGATTATGGATGCACTTGGCTCTCAGCCGTAAGATTGGAGGGTTCCGATTTCTCTACAGGAAAATTTGATTGGACTTGCGCCGTCCATCAGCAAGATTAAAGCTGTGGACCGATGCCTGTGTTTTTTCTTTGGAATCTTGGGGTTTTGCTCTTTTTGATGGAAAGTATTAGAATGGTTAGTATTTGCCTCAGTGTTCTTGTAATAATTTTAAAATTTTTTTTTTAAAATAAAAAATAAAAAAAAACTTTTAATAAGTGATGGTTTATATAAGCATATGATGGTCTTTAGGGACCATCACTATTTTCAAAATCTGTTGGTTAAATTTCTTTTGTTTGGTCGTGCTTGCCGCGTCAAGTGGGACGTGGGCTTTAAGCATACAAGGGGTATTGTAAGGGTTACACCTCGTTTATGATGTATCACTTAATAAAATATTATAATAAGGTGTCATAAGAGGTTAAATACGATAGGCAAGGACTTCCACTTTAGAAAAATGTTAAATTTTTTTTTTTTCTAGTCGAAACATAGTGAGTTTCTCTCCCTAATCGAATTTTTATTGGAAGCTTCCTCTCTAATATTTTAGGTAAGTGACATCATCTTTTTGAAAAATAGTCTGTTTTTAATAAATAGTGATATTTTCGTCCAGAATTTTTATTTTATAAGTTTTGTGTGTAAGGGACTTCATTGTCTTAAAAAATAATCCATTCTTTTTAAAAATGAAATGAAATAATTATTTCTACTTACTATCATGAATTTTAGGCACGATAAATTTTATGCGCAAG